TAAGAGAAGAAACCTTCTTAATGAATGAATCTACAATAAAATAGAATACAACCCCAACCCCCTAGATAGCCTTTTGTTCATTTAATTCTACTCCTATGATATTTTATCAATACTATTTTCTAAAATAGCTCCATCACCATTCTCTCTAAAAAATAAAAATGATATAAAAAAATAAGCATATCTAATCAGAAAACATGTAGTTGATAATTGGTGTCTTCGGGGAAAAAATAAAAATAAAAATAAAAGAGAACTTACCCGAGAAAGACTCGTCCGATGATAAACCCAAAATTTTGGTGGAAGCAAGATCTCAAGCCGAAGTCATACTATACAAGGTAAAGTTAACCATAAAAACCAATCATCTTTAAATCAAAAACAAGAAATTAGCTATAAAATCATACTTTGACTTAGGACAAATTCCATACCCATATCCAGAAGAAATAGGTCAACTGAAATGCATTCTGCATAAAATATTTAAAATGTCAGACTTCAGATTGTAATTTTATTATCTATTTATTTATTTTGCATTATCACATAATCAAGTCATGAGAGCAGTTATATCGCAAATACTAAAAAATATTGGTAACTTTCGGAAAAAAGTAACAGAAAGGAGAATAGGAACCAACCATAAACAATGTGAAATGTATTAAAGAAAGAACAAGACCAGGATTCTTGAACCAAAAATGATTATCACTTAGCTGAACCAAAGGAACTCCTTGAACAACAGCATGTTTTTCTTTAATTTCTATCGCCATTTTCGCAATTATCGCCTGCAGATTCGTCCCAATAGCCAAGAGAATCTGCAAAAGCGAACAAAAAATCAATTCTTGAAGAATTTTTTGCAGGCCAGTTATTGGTAAAGATCAATATAGGAAGATTTACATACATACCACTCAATTCCCACGTATTTACATATCGAAAATCTAAACTTCAGTTTTTACATGCATACTACCTTTCACAGGTATGAAAAAGGTGTATTTCACTTTTTTTTTTCCCTAAAAGGTTGTATTTTTTATGCGCTATGAAAGATTTGAGTGGTATAAATGCAAAGATCAAAATTTAGGTGTTGGGTATGTAAATGGATTTTACAATTGGGGGAAGTAGTGACACCCAGAATAGTTCCTTCCATCCTACAATAACAAAAGAAAATGTGAGTTTGTTTGTTAATTGGATGCTTCGTACAAAATGCTGCAGAAAATTATTACTTGCCGTGAACATTAAGCAGTAAAAAAACAACCGCAGATGCCCACAGAAGAGGTCTGAAAAAAAAAATAGGAATGAGCCAAAAAAAAGGAAAAAAAAAAAAAGGAATGAGCCAAAAAAAAGAAGAAAGATTCACATACATACCACTCAATTCTAATGTATTTATATATCTAACACCTAGACATCGAATTTTACATACATATCACCTTATCTATGCATGAAAAGTTGTCTTTCACACTTTAAAAAGTTAAAATTGTGGTATTTTTTATGTGATAGTAAAGATTTGGGTGATATAAATTGAGAAGGTGAAGTTTAGTTGTGGATATGTAAATACGTAGGAATTGGCTGGTATGTATGTAAATGTCCCCCCTTCCTCCCCCAAAGAGAGAGAGAGAGAGAGAGAGAGAGAGAGAGCGAGAAAATAAAGAAAAATCAAAGGTGGCATTAATCACAATGAACTACAAGTTCATAAGAATCGATGCTTTAAGATTCTCAATATTATTAGAAGATTTACAAACATACCATTAAATTCCTATGTATTTACACATCTAACATCTAAGTTTCAATTTTTACATATATGCAATCTTAACTATGCTTGAAAAGGTGTAGTTCAAATTTCAGAAGTTAAACTGCTTGAAAAGGTGTAGTTCAAATTTCAGAAGTTAAAACTGTGGTATTTTTAATGTGATATGAAAGATTTGGGTGGTATAAATGTGAAAAGTAAAGTTTAGGCATTAGATATGCACATACATAGGAATTGAGTAGTATGCATGAAATGCCCCAATATGATTTTGTGGAAAATCAAAGGTTGGGAACAGAGGAGCCAGTAATTTACAGTACCTGATTACAACTACTACCTTGAAGTCGTCTTCCAGTGACCTTTTTATATATTTTTGGAAATTAAATTTGCTTCCAGAAGCCAAATGGACCTGAAAACATGTTCTGGGATACAAAATAAAAAGAGAAAAAAATGAAAATAACATTTTTCTTGCAACTTACATTTATGAAACCATGACGGAGAGTAAGGTAATCTGCTTTTCGAACAGATCTGAAAAATTGGTGGAAGAAACAAACCTGTAGCACAAGCATAATTAAATAGTAGCCATAAAAAGTTTAACAGATGTGTATGCCAGCTCAGTAGAAATCATTGGAGTACACGTACTACTCGCCGACTTGCCACAAATGTTCATCAACTCACTGTTGATCTCTTTTTTATGAGGTCTGTCTCTTTCTTTTTAGAATCTAAGATCTAGCCTTAGGGTTTTTCTAATGACTCTCCTAGAGAACTAGTGTTGCGACACACTCTAAATGTAAGAAATTAAAGAAAAATGAAAAAAAATAGAAATTAAATGTGTCAGATTCGGGAAAACTAGGAGAATTTAATAAAAATAAAACCAGAATATAATAAAATCAAATAAATTTTAAATGATTTTTAAACTATTAAAGCAACAATAAGACAAAATTTAAAATATAAATCAAAATAAAATGAAATTTCTGTAATTTTTGACCATATGACAAATTAAACCTCTTGACCATATGATATTTCTTTAATTTTCTCGTAAACAAAAAAAATATGTTGGTTACTTAAATGAAATTTTCATGGGATT